AGCTCGTTCGATTCCACGCTAGCGTATCAGCTCAAGTGTTTCTGGAGACAGACGCCTCTTGGTGACTTTCGAACTCTGAGTTTCATAGCGCTAACGTGAAGGTGTTGAATTAACCGATTATATTCTTCGTCGACGTTGTCGACAGCGTCATCTGCCCAACAGCTGACTAATGAATTGAATAAGTCCCAGTTTGCGGTGATTCTGGACTTCGGTTTTCGAATTTAGCCGCTCTTTCTCCTTTCCGCGAGAAATACAATCTTGCACGAAGAAGACGATGGTCTGATACTGTGTAGAATTTTGGCACAACAGCAACATCGGTTAGGCAAAACCTATTTACTATGATGTGGTCTATTTCGTTATTGTACTCTCCACTGGGAGACTCCCACGTCCATTGCTGAGGTTGGGGCTTATGGAATTGCGAGTTACCATGGATAGTCTTAGTCGCCATGATAAACTTGGACACCCACTTACCCTGTTCGTTCCATTCTAGTCCGTGGGTCCCAATGTGACGTTCTTCAGACGGTCTTCTTGGTCCAATCTTGGCGTTGAAATCTCCAGTAATGACCTTGAAGAATGTGTGGTCTTCTCTGTAGAACTTCTCCAAGTCCATATAGAACGCTTCGACTTCTTCTTTGTCAAAGTTTGATGTCGGCGCGTAAACGACGAAGATTGTCAAAGCGGGAATTAATCCACGTCTTTTTAATCGTAAATGTCCGATTCGGGTTGTAAGTTGTTCGAATGAATTGATGTTCATGGACAAAATGGTGTTGACGAGAACACCGACACCTCCAGCTCCTCTACTGTCGCATGTTCCGAGGAACAGTTCTTCTCCAGTGTCATAGACGGCGTTGAAAGACTGGCGTGTCCTCGTCTCGGCCAGGCGGATGGCGTCGTTTGAAATCCAGGTAGCTTCCATTGGCCCTGAGATTTTAGCAGCCTGTCCGTACGCGTCCTACCTAAGGCTGCGTAATTGGTGTCTATTTCGTGGTCAAAGGAACGAGGCCCATTTTTAGTGTTTTTGCTTTTTGATTACCACGATTGCTCTGCTCTGAACATGGAGCCTGGGTATAATCACGGGTAGCTTGCCAGGCTCTCCCAGAGTGGACATGGAGGTTATTTGTTGGAAGCGACTCCTAACCGCCTCCCATATACTTCCCAGTCACTTGATTGCTGACTTTTGACCTAATTGACTGTGCAATACAATTCGTATAAGCGAGAACGCACCCACACACACATGCATGAGTACACCTCGCAAATACGGAAAGTATGTGCCAAGGCAGCGCACCAGAAACAGGGAGTCCATCTCCTGGATCCACCTGCGTCTCAGGGAAGCAAAGTGGCTTTTGGTCCGTGATTAACCCCCCATCCGCCACCTGGGGATGCGCCACGTAGCCTCGCGACTAACCGGCTTGAGATCCCTCATTTGAGGGAGATCCGTGGCATTCCAAAGATTTTGGAGAAGAAATGTGAATGCTTAGTGTTAGTCATAAAAAAAGCTCTCGGCGTTTATCAATCCCTAAGGGATGCGCCATGCATCGATTTCATTAACCATCATTGAAAGTGATTAAATGCATATCTGCCTTTACAATAACTCGCGGTGGTGCACCGATGTATCGAGCCAGTGCTGCTGTCCTGCCAAGTAGATCTAGCGCCAGTTTACCGACTCCGGTGTGATGGAAGAACTGCATGGCCTTGGTCGCTATGATCGATCCCGTGTGTGTTAGGAAGCCCCTCCGACCACTGCGCTACCCGCAATGTTAGTCATAATGCGATCTTATGCATTTTAGTCTTAATCAGTCAGCTGAAGTGAGGTACGGCACCACATAAATCTCGATGGAATTTCGAAATCACCACTTGTTTCTTATATATTCTGATGCCTAATTTGTGAAGTGAGAAATACCATGTGTTTATATATTATCCATGTGGTTTTATCATTTTGCTATTATTTTTGTTTACTTAGGTCGACTTATGGCCCACGCTACACGTGACCATGTACTTCGGGTTTCAAATGAAGCAGATTTTATTCTGAACCGTCTTCGAGCTGAAGACGTGAGCAAGCACGCGCACTTTGAGGTATATCAGGGATTTCGTAATTCAAAGATGTTCTTTAGCGGTAAAATTATCCTGCCCGTTTGTTGTTTATCATGTGTTTTTAGCGGAAAGAGGTTCATTTTTATGTCTTGTTTAGTTTTGCGTTTGACCATCTTTTGCACAATGCAACTGCTGCTGGTCGTGGCGAAATGTTAAGAGTGTATTTTGAATCAAGGGATTCTATCTTTCATAACTTTGCAATGCTCTAAGACAATAGTTATTTGGCATCAAGATTTTACAAGAAAATTACATTTTTAGTTTCAACTGCTTCACAGGCGAGTACTTCTTTTAGAGCGAAACGGCTGCCAATTTGGAACAGCGTTGTGTTGAAGAGACGCGATGGGCTCAAACGATTCGAAATGGACGACGTAGAGACAGTCGTCTCGCCGCTAAACTTCTAGGAAGTATGATGACTGTATTACGAAACCCAAGTGGGGTCTGGAGTTCCGAAGATGCAACAGCGTGAGTTGATAGTTTCTCTGTACTATTTCTCAATGCCTAGGATTCAATGGCGAGTACTAGGTGAAAAGTGTGGAACGTCTGTAACTGTTCGTTAAAAAATCCGTTTGAGCATTTATTATCGTTGCTCACTGAAGATTCCTGGAATGTATAGGTCATTGAGGTGCTTACAGTCAAATCTTCTGGCGTTTGGATGTTTGGGAAGATGATAGTCGCCGACGTCGTCGATTTGTTCCAAATGTTTACGGATCAAAACATGAAGGGGCAAGGGTCATTACTATTAGTGCTGAGGATTCTGAGTTGAACGAGGAGGAGAAACTGAGAGCATTAGCGACCAGGTTTATTTTGTTTTCAAAATGCAGTATTGATTCTTTTTGATTCATATTAGAATAGTTTATCTCGCGAACGAATGAGGTCTAGACCGGCGAAATACCAACAACTAGTAGTTTCGACTCAGATTTCCAACACATGTCAAAGTTTTGTAATGTATGCCTTCATTTTCTCCTTTTTTATGCAAAACATTTATTGCTTCAGCATTGCACCTGGACGTGGTCAATATTCCGAGCTTGTTGACGAGAGCGACATCGATAAATGGGCTGCTGAGATAGATCCTCCACCAAGCAGCGGTATGTTTTATTTTAGAAATTTCGTTATATGTCCATTGTTCAATTTGTTCATACGAGTTGTATTTCGCAACATACCCTGCCATTAAGAAGAAAGAAAGGCAGTAAATAAAAGGGTTAAGAATATGATTATAACTAAGCCTAAGCTTAACTGGGTTCAATGCCGATTTGGGATCCCCAGATCAATCCCGTTGACGGGCGATTGCTGATGGCAAAAAGATCGATAGAACTAGCNGAGAGACAGGCAAAACGAAGGACCCGGATGGTGTGGTGGTGAAGTGCGCTGCTCCCCGGTAAGGACAACAGCGCGGGTTCGTTCCACACTGCATACACCTGCGTTCCGGAGTTTTGCAAATATCTCAGCATTTCATACGAATTATATTTCGCAACATACCCTGCCATTAAGAAGAAAAAAAGGCAGTAAATAAAAGGGTTAAGATTTAGAAAATTTGTTTTAAGATTATGAGAAATATTTAAAGACTGAAATGTCTTGCCCACCATTTGTTTTCGTAATGCAATTAGGATATTTTTTATGGTGTGTTTGACTTTATGTGCTAAGGCTTTATTTTGCGTGCAGAAGAATGGTCACTGAATTGCCATTCTCCAATCACATTTCTCTTTCATTCAACTTTGTTGATATCTAAAGATCTTCGCTATTAAAGGTTAAATAACGAACAGCGAATTTGAAAATATCTGTTTTGAGGTTTTATGCCCGGTAACTTTTCCTATCAGTAATCAGTTTCGCTAGCTGGATGCTGGCTCCAGTAAACTTTTTAGGCTGCTTGTAGAATTACGGTTGCCAAAATCTCCAATCTCTGTACTTTTTTTCTATTGGTAAACCAACGCGAGGTTGAGAAGAAACTTTATTCGGATAACGTTTTGGTGCCTTCGCTTTCTTCAGAGCCGGATCGATCCGAGTCGACTGTCCACAGCTGTTCCTTTTTGATGTGGGTCTTCGTGAACGCATCAAGTCGAATCCAGTGGAGCAAAACCGGAGTGAAATAATTTCACTCAGCACTGTTTTATAAATGATGGTTTTCGGCACTGATTCCGTTGCCAGTCGTTTGTTTCTTCCCGGACAATCCGTCCATCCATCAATCTCGTTTTCGGAATGTATCGTCCCTCTTATTCTGCTGAAGGTGTTCGATGAATAATTTGTCTCAATCTGTCCACTTAAATGGAAGCGCTGACGGTGTCTCATGTTCGATTGAGATGCGTATCTTTCAACGTAAGACACATTCGATATTATCGGAACTCGTACTTTTATTACCTCATTGTTTCGCGTGCCATTTGGTGAAATCAAGTCTCCATACTCTCGCTGTGCTTGCCTGCTTTTGGTAATTGGAGTTTTCCGCAATCGAACGGATAAACTCAGTGCTTCAAATGGATTGTTTGGCAGTTTAAAACACCGCTGACATAATAGAGGATAGAGAAGTAGTTCTGTCGTCTGAGAATTTTCAGTGTTTGAATGTCATCCATTTGTCCCGATTGACGAGAAGTATTTGGGACATCACGCTTGGATGAAATGCTTTTTATTAACTAAATCTAGTCTTTATTCTTTCTTGATAAGCTTGCTCGTGCAAGCTTATCAAGAAAGAATACATATTGATTAGTCACACCGAGGTTTAGAGAAAGTCGGTTTCGAAATATAAATCTAGTCTGTTCATAAAATTAGTGATAGCAAAGGACCACGCTGCCTTACTAATTGTATTCTTTAGCATAGAAAAAGCCGTTGGAACTTTGAGTTTTCGTAATCTTCATAAAATTTGTTTTTGTACAGCCGACGGTGCAATTCCTATTGTTTTACTCAGTGGCAATGAGTCACGAAGCATGCTTCAATCAGCAGCCATGTTCATTAAAATGTTTCTTTTTAATTTTTTTGTGCTCAAAGGCATCAAACCCGTTTTGGTTGCGCTTTGTTTTATTTCGTACAACATGCTATTTTTTCCTTCAAATTAATAGAGTCTGATATTCCATTGACGTGTGGTTGCTGATGGCACCACTGGAGTAAAAACATAGTTGAAAGAAAGGCAAGGTAAAGGCTTCGGCTGGTGTAGTGGATAGCACGTGAGTCTTGGGTAAGGATAATCGTTGGCTCAAGGCACACCTGAAGTTCCGAGTTTTGATCATATCTCAGCATCCTTGCAGTCTGATGTGTAAGCAGTTTGCTATTTCGTTTGAAAAAAAATCCCTGCGTAAGTAAATTTATCACGTAATCACCGGGGAAATCGAGCGGGCACTTTTGGGCTGTACTCGTCTCCGCCGCACTCAGGAGCTGGTTTGTGGGCCAAGTTTGCTCAAGAGATGCGAGGATTATATACTTTTGCTATGATACCTTTTGTTTTGTTTTTAAGAGTTTCTGTAGGCAATGTGGCCATGTGTAGCTCTTCGGGTTTTCTGAATGCAAAGATTTATTCTTTACTTAACAATGCGATGAAATATCAAATTCCCCAGCGTAGGTCGTTTTGCCGGTTGGATGGTCTTCCGCCATACATTTTGATGCTCAGGAACACTCCTCATCTATAGCGACGAGATTGTTAGTTACATTGGATACAAAATGTACTAAGTGTAGTAGTATGATGGAAGCCGGTTTTAAGATATTGAATGTAAAACGTCAGAAGTAGTTCTTGCCAACTATTCCTAGCTTTCATCTTGTATTTCGTCTACCTGATTAGGATTTGTTCTATTTTAAGTATTTTTCCTATTAGTCTTCAGGAATGATGACTAATACTTCGAAGGCAATCTTACAATCTATTATGCTTTTGAAATAAACACTATTACTCCGCTCCAAAGTTCTGAATACTTGTGTTTTCTGCAATATGTGGTTTCGGTTGACATCTTACTTCAAGTTCAGACAATTTCAATCAAAAAATTTTTCTCAAGGAGCAAATATAGAGTTCGAGAAGGAGCCGTTTTTTAATTATTATTGTTTTATCCATTCCAAAAGGGAACTCATGTAAGGATTGCTGAGCGTCCTGGTAAGCCTCATTGAACCCTGTCGTAAGCTTATTAGGTGGCGATATACACAGGTCATGTGTCACTGCACTTATTTCCAGAAATGATTAGCCGTTTGATGCATTAGCCCCATTACGGTAATGCGACACTCTGACGGCGGCAATTAAATTACTTCGCTTTAATGCGCGACCGTATTACGGCCGGCTATTACTAGGAGTACGGTACTGAGGAGGTTCAGAGCGTAAGCTTTAAGCAGTAGATAGGACAGTAAACTGTATCCAGTCACCGTTTCGTAATTATGATTACGGAATGACAGGAGAGTTTGGTTAATGGACTTCAAGGCAGCTTTTGCAAATTTTGTACTTGATAAGTCTTTGTAAAACCTTGTATTTCCTGCCTATTATTTTTTCGTGGCAGATTCCTATGTGGATTACAACTTCAATGATGCTAAGACATTTGCAAAACTGAGACCCGAGGCCAGATTCGAACCCGCGATTACCCCTTGGATGGGCTTACGTATAATAATAGGCAGTAAATAAAAGGTTCTTCATTGTGATTTCGACTGCAGCCTTAACTGAGTTCGATGTCGATTTGTGTTCTCCAGATTATTCCCTTTGACGGGTTGCTGATGGCATCGTTAGAGTAAGAAAGTTACTGAGAGAAAGGCAGAGTGAGGGCATCGATGGTGCAGTGGGTAACACTGGTAACACGTGAGCCACTGGAAAGGGTTGTCACGGGTTCGAATCTGGTCTGTGGTGTGAGTTTTGCAAATGTCTCACCATCATTGTGGTTGATATAACTTTGCCCATGTTTTCTAATATTATGACCTTTTGCAAGTGTGAAATATAACATATTTCCAAAAAAAAGAAAAAAGAGATTGGAATTAAAAGGATGCAAAACATAAGTTTTATTTATTTTGTTTTTATTTTCACATTACAATGTTTGACATTTGGACACGGAAGTAATATAGAATCTGTAGCTTTCTGGTTTAATATGCTTCTCGTTTCAAATGATATAGCGTTATTATTGTGGCGTGGACCCTTGCGTCATTGATAAGTTGACACGCGTACTAGCCCGTGTGGGCTTCTCAGTGAAACGAGGTGCACATACCGAGGTTAAATGAACCTCGGTTTGTAGTTGTATTATGGTGTTTTCCATGAATGTTTCCAAATATTTTAAACTATCTTTATGAGCTATACGGTTTCCGTACCTACCCCTTCGCGTAACGTCTGTTCGTTATTTTTTGCTTGATAGTTTGTGGTTGGTGGGTAGTGTAATGTGTGTATGATCCATCCGGCGCCTGTCACAGCCATCAATTCTTAACCTGTCTGCGTAACTCCTTGCACTGTGTTGCAATCGTAAGATAGTCGACGTATTTTTGGGGAAAATTTGTTCGTTACATGTACGTTAATTTCGAAAAGATCGGGTAAATATTTGATACTTGTAGTCTTCCTTGGTCGTTCATATTAGATTGATTTAAAAATATTAGCGTATTTGGACGGGAAATGAACACTTTTTCTATTTTACTTGTTATTTAACACATACGATCCCATCACTACGTTCATTTGCTGGGTTGTCTTGAACCCGTCATCTAGTAAGGTCTTCGGATCTTCATGTTTGCTTGGCTATCATTGGGTTTTGTCATTTCCACTAACGGTTAAATATTGTTTGAATTGATTTTAATTGGAACCCCAGCGATAGCTATCTTAAACAATTCCCGAGCTTTCACCACCATCACGGTTTTCGGACCTTGTAGATAAGGAGCTTTTCACAGACAATTCTGAAACCAGTATTCCCTCGTAAGAGTGGTTAGAGTTTGACTGGCTTGCTAAGGGTTTCGAAACAGCGAACATGCACGTTTTTCACTATCTCTGATCACTACATTTCATAACAGCATTCGAAATTTACACATTTTTCCAGTAAGATCGAAGTTTTTGTCTAGTGGCATTGAATTTTGAAATTCCGGAAACGATGAGTTCTTTGTATTCATTTTCAAGGGCGGTTTAAGAGTTGAGCTTATCTACACATTTTGCCTGCTGTACTTAAATTTACCTTATTAGCGGCTAAATTTTCGAATTTGTTTCCAACGGCCACTTAGTAGAACCTAACTGGATTAACTTCTGCATCGCTGGTTGTGCGACCTGTGGGCATGAGGATTATAGTTCTCATTCGTGCAAACGAGATGCAATTTCTGAAGAATTCCCTAAATTTCCTGACAACGCTTTTGTATTGTGATCGTTTCGACGAAATCCAAAAAGTTGTCCAAAGCACCGAGCATTGCCATATCCTCAACTGATGCCATTTCAACTTTGGGATATATTTAGAAGTTTCATTCATTCGAACCACTTTGTTGAGCGCAGTCTGCCTTCTTATGAGGTTCATTTTTCATCAACCGTTACGATGCGACAGAAAATTGGGCTGTTTTTATTACGTAAAAGGAACACAGAACATCATAACAACGATCTCTTTGTTCTTTGTCCAATTCATGTGGCGAGAAACTATAGAGCCTTTTCACCTTTTCGTCCTTAGATGGTATTCGTCGTTGTTGTTGTTGTTGTATATATGTGTATACTCTTCATCATCAAGGCTTAGATATTCTGTGCGAAACCTTTCGAACCATCAGCCAGCCCTTTATTCGTTCGAACATTTCGAGTTGTTTCCACGGTAGTGCGACGACTATGTTTGAATTCGTGAAATAAATCTGTGCTGTTTTCACAATTTGAAAGCATCACTTCAGCTGGGTTAAAATTATGGGTGATTAGGTGTCTATAAAAGTAACATATGGCAAGCAGCTAGCATACAACTAACCGTATGCATTGAATTCAATGCATCATGGTGAAATGTTGTTCGGTGAATGACTTTATGTTTCAATGAAGAGTATAGTTCCTATAATTTTTATATTCATCCGATTATTTGTCCATTATAGATGCTATGCCAGACTTTTTTTGTGAAAAACTATTCTTTACACTTGATCCAATTTGTACCTTTTTTTTGGAATAAAAAAGATTTAGTGCATTAACGCTCGTGGCGAAAAAACTAGTCGTAGTCTCCACGGCCGTCACACGAAAACCGTCATAATCTTGTGTGTTAGGCAGCAGATAAGCTTAAAAATGCTGAAGAACGTGTAAGCAATAACAGAAAAGGTACTTTTAAAATTGGTCGCATCAAAATCAGTCGTTATTTTTGAATCAGCCTGGCATGTGTCGCTGGTGGTAGGACTTATTCATCTACTTATTTTTTTCAGTTAATGACCTGTCATCACATCTATTCTGCGGTCCCAGCACTTCTCGCATTCGATTCGTTTTCCTCGAATTTATTCCCCACAATGGTTTCCGAACATTTCGCATGTTGTTTCGGGTACTGCTTGAGAATGTCGTCTTCTTTATGAATGTAGCAGAATGTCGATCGATTCTTCTCGATTCTTCCTGTATTCTTGGGACTACCCGAGCTGCTTCTTGCATTCTTGGGGCTACCCGAGCCAAGACGTTGCCACGTGGATTAGGAGGGAGCGTTGGGTAGAGAGTTGGATGAGTACCTTGTTTCCTGATCGACAACGCCACTGACCAATAGGCTGACCACTCATATTCAGTACTTCTAACAAATGGAAAGTATCATTTTCGTGATTGTTGAAGGTGAAAAATTCGATCCGCATCATTCTTTATGGGGAAACTAATTTTTTTTTATAGAGGTAGGGACATATTCCGCGCATTTAGGCGAAGTTTAGCGCTGTATCATAGTAGCGCTATATTCGAAATATTATAATTTAATTAACAATGAATAGGAATATAATGAATTTGAGGACGCAATTTGATGCTGTATCATAATAGCAGCTGTGACGGGATTTATTTTTGACGTCAATTATAATGGTGTAATATTGTGCATAATATTCTAATTCAAGGCGCAGACATGGACCGATGCCACTCTGCGTTTTCAGGTTAATTGCATGCAAAATCGAATGAGAGTGAGAGTTATTGATTGTCGTTAGGAATATCGATACTTCTGTATGATTTCTGTGTTCTATACGAAGTCCTCTTTTTCAGTTGTGATTAATCCTATATCACACTCATTGCCATGCCTTTGTTGCGATTTGTTTAAAGGAACGGAATTGTAAAAATTTAAAGAGCTGTCTCTAACCAATAGAAGAGAAATGATAAGGAGGAAAAAGTCTGCAGGATCGAGCTTTCAGTCTAACGGTTGCTTTTTAGGTTTCGTTGGAGAATGGGTTTTAGTTTCGTGGCTTTGTCTCTTGTTTTATTCTAAGCCAGCCAGCTTTTCCTTAATCTCTGCCTCAGCATACACATAACCTTTTTTCTCGGATCGAGGTTCATGAGGTGGTAGTGGTGGGGTGGGCTTATGATTGCCCAAGTCGTATGTCATTGGACATGCCGTCTCCCCAACAAGCACCAATTACTAACGATGCCTCACATTACATCTTATTATGTCAATCGTTCTCCATCAAAAGCTGTCGTCGAGAACGCACGAGAACGAGGGCAGCACCAGATGACTGCAGCCGGCCGCCCGTCCCCATTAGAACACCTTACGGGAATACGGTATTCGAGCGCGAACAGAGTGTTCTATGACTGCGATTGATTTTCAAATTTCGTTTACAAGCTGTTTACGTTCTACGGCTTATGATGGGTGAAACCTTGACGTATGACGAATCATGCGCACTTCATGTGAATATTAGGTATTAGATATTTATATCACGGTGTAAAGGAACGTCGGAAAGAACCCACATCGACGCGATTATTGGTAAAACGTTCTGTTTGATTGAAACTAAGACGAATTTCTTTTAAATGATCCTTTATTGCGATGAGGGAATTTGCTAAGGCTGTGTATGACCCATCGCGTATATGACCATACATGGACCTAATTATCTGAGTAAAAACATGATTTTTCTCTCATTGCTATGATTTCTCTTTCTTCGGTCCTCTTGCTTGAAATGTTTTTTTTTATATGTGTGGTCAGGCACACGCAGGGCTGAACGATTCAAATTTATACAAATATCGAAAAATGAAAAGACGTGAGGACTAGTACACATCATATGGGGATATGGAATGCTTAATAAAATGGATTGAGAGAACCAGCAGAGGGAACCTTGAAATGTATGGAACTATGTGGAAAGTTCTCGAACCATATCAACTTGCACCACTAGTATTCAAAAACTAACGGCAACAATGTCCTCTAAGTTTCCTCAAAACTGCGTTATGTTTAGAAGTCACCAACTACACCACTACCGCGAAGCTGATCGCACCGGGTGTGGTAGTACCAGGAACACTATCAATAACTGCTACTGACCTGTTCTTCGACGCTGACGAAGAGCATCCACTTTATAAGAAACAAGACCCGAAGGTGAGCCATTCAAGAACAATTCATGTAATCTTATCGAGAAGCATACCTACAGGTTGACTCGTATTATTAGGCCTGTAAGAACGTGGCAGAGTGGCGAAATCAGTGGGAACTTCTATTATGCAAGATGGCACATTATTAATATTTTGCTATGTTCTAAATAGATAATCTCTCCTGCCCGTTTATGTCTGATTATTTCCCACTTATTGGAACACTTAGGCGTAGAAATCGATATTCGAACAAAATACTTTGAGCTACCGAGACAAGAAAATAAGAAAGTGAAGTGTAAGTTATCGCGCGAACGAATGCAGTTTGAAATTGTTTACAGTTTTTGGCAGAGAGGAAGTCTCAAGTTTCGGTGAGATATTCGTCCTATATGTGCTCATAGATTTACTTGCTAAAATCCGAAAAATTGTATAGAATTACACGGCGTTTATGAAAGTAGATATAGAGAGGAAGTAATTAAAGAACATTAGCTATAAGCTTTCCAGTGCGCGAGCGTTGAGCATTAGCTGACGTACTAGATTCCATGCCATTTTCGAGCTCTGGTCCAGCAGATGGTGAGGTTTCCCACGTAACAGATCAAGTTGAGGGAGAAAGTAATGTGCGCAGCGCCGACATTGCAAACAACTGACCAGCTGTAGAAGGACACCTAAAATAATTTTTTAGTGCTTGATAGTACAATAAAATTGCCCCGATACCTGGACAACAACTACGAGTGTTACTCTCCATTGAAAAGGAGACAAATTTTAGGACAACCGTAGTAGTGCTAGCGTTAAGAATTGCGAAACGAGATATGGTCTAATCGTATTAGTGAAGTTGGCGTCACTTTTCTGAGACGCATAGTTGAATTATGTTATAGCACATGAGATTTTGAAAAATCGTTCAAAGGTGAACCATCAGAGGAACTTGACAGTGACCAGAGTAATAAATGTTCTATTCCATCTTTCTCCTTAGCTGTTCGCTATAGTGGTAGCTTATTAAAAATACATCATAGTGTTCCTTCCGGAACATGTTGGGTAAGGAATGATTTGAATGATACACGTGTGATACCTCTTTCACGAGTTATTATCTTACTTAGCGCTCTTCCTCATTCACTAAAAGTTTTCTCTTGCGGAGAGGTTTTGTACTACTGTGATTTTACTTCATATTATGACAGTAAACATTTTTTAACCATATGTAGAAAGCAACTACGCTGTGTTTAGAAACATTTTATAGTGCTTCCTATGAAAGCTTATGAAGTGAAGGGGAATCAGTGAACTCCGTAGGTTGTTTGCTTAAAACGTTCTGATTCTCTCGCTGTGTTAAATAGGTGTCAGGTCTCCCTATTTAGATGGCTATCGTAACTCCTCATAGTATGCTAAAAATAGCTCGGAATTCCAGCATTCGCTTATATCAGTTATTTGGTGATCTATTTGTTCCTATGCTGATTGCAAGAAGTCAATCTGAATAGTGATGATGATGTCGATGGCGGCAGTTATTTTCTTGGTGTTGATGCCCTTGTGCTGTGTGGAATGGGCTGTCGAAAGCAATAAATTGATGCGCAGTGACACGCCACTAATGTTCAGTGGAGCCTGACTTGTCTCGGGAGAGATATCAACACTCTGTCAATGTGGACAAACTTGAGACGTGTTGCATGGAGTAGAAACCGTATCGATCGCTGAACTACGGAATCGATACTGTGGATGTTTCGAAGTTTCTTATACTTTCTAATGTGGAATTATAACGTAATTGAGTATAGATGGAATCAGCAGGCAATGATAATGGAACACAATAAAACGAAAGAAAAGGCTATGTGAAGGTGATTTCAAAATATATGAAGAGCTCAAAACGTGGCTGAATTGGACTCATTGCAAGAGCACTGTAACGAATGCTATAAAAGAAGAGGATGTTTTCTCCAATTATATATATATATATATATATACAATATATGCATATGTGCATATATATATATAAGGTACTGAAAATTGCTAAATATTTCCTTCTAAAACACTCACCAATAACTCTATCACCAATGCAGTTGTCCTCCCACTCGAAATCATTGCAATGCTTCTCACATTCGTAAAGCATCAACGTTTTGAGAATGTAATTGGTAATTGGAGTACCCGGAAAGTCGAGATGTGTATCACGAAGACACTTTAGAATGCTAAGAGCTTTTCTCCGATTTCCCGCTAGAAAGTGAAATTGGTTGATGACGATGATAGTTTTATAGTATTAATCTATAATCTACTTACATAGTAAGACGTTTTCAGCACCGACGAGATTCATTGCCCAAGCGTCTCCTTCCATTGAACTCGTTTGCTTATTTTGCTGTGCTGGAACAGTACCCGTTTCTCGGCTTGTCAAGTCGAAACCTTCGTTCTTCACCTAGAGAAGAATCTAGGCTTTACCTTTTTTGGAGCACAGAGTTCCTTCGTATTGACTTATTCTCATACCTCTGCCGCGACGGCGGGATTAGGCCACGGAATGGTGTTGTTTGGCCAATGGCTCGCAGATCGCGGCCAAATTCCATTGCATCGGAAGGCACATGTTATTTGGACCACGTATTTGTCATCGACTCTCAGGCGCACGTCGCTAGTATCGGTTAAGAGCTTGCAGTATTCTCTAGAAAAGGTAGAAACTGCCTATGCTCGGTAACGAGGAATTAAAATTTCGAAAACAGAAGTGCTACCTAAATGGTGGCTTCTCGACTACTTGCCCTACAAGGGTCTGAAATCGGCTGCGGATTTTCCGTGCCGATAAGTAGCCACTAGCTGTTATGAACTCTACCCATAGAGACATAGAACGTTTTCGTCCATCACTTAATTTAAGAACAGCACATCCCTGGATGGATCCATCGTCGACGAAATTGAACACTCCCATTTGATTCAAATAAAGGATCGCTTCATATTCGTGAGGAGAGTGAACGATGAGCTTAAAGAAACTGGATAAAGCAGGCATTGAAGTTTTGTCTAAAATAACTGATTACAGGATAGAACAATGATTTAGAGGGAAGCATAGGAGACTATGGATCTGCTGATATTTTCAAAAACTTTTAATTTAAAGGATTTAACTATCTTAAAAACGCCGTTGCATTCTAAGGGCAATGAAACGCTGTCATAATAAGAACAAATAAAAGCTAAATTATCACACTGTGCTAACCCCATCGTAGCGTCCATTGCTTTCGACCAAAGTCGAAATAAATCGTGGCTCCTGACTTTCCACATCTTTCAGCACATCTTGAACAACTTTGGCTATCCTATAGACGGATTTATGTACGTGGTTCTTCCGCACCTGTACTTTGTCATTGTAATAGTTGGTGATCTGATAGATTGTGTTGGGGTTGTGACCTAACATCAGCAGTCTTCGGACGTTTGATGTCTGATTGGTTTTTGGAATTGAAGACGTGTCTTCAAGATGTTCTTGATGAAAGCATCCGTAGTAATTAACTAGGCGTCTATTATGATGCTTCAGAAAGTGGAATTAAATTGTGAGCAATCCTATCAATCAGGTGAGGAGTACGTGCGAGTTGCCGGTGGATCCGGCTGACGAATGGACGTCGGGGCGTGGTTGTTCTGCAACTAACGACAATCAATCAACGGTCGATATCGCTCCGCCCATTTTCTTGGCTACCTGCTCAATTATTTACAAGTGCGTCTCTTCTCGAGACAACATGCGGAAATTACTCGTCTCTCGGAATGTCGGCGTGAAGTGTTGAATTTGTTGGAAGAAAGAGTTGCACATAACCAGGAATTGGAAGGGGTGAAGGTGTGGAGGAGACTTCATTGCTTTGGTCTTGAATGTCATTCTTTGCTAGCTTTCCGAATGCCGGCTTATAGTGAATGCTTTGCTCAGAACTATAAACGACTTCACTAGGTTGAAGATGTGTCTTCGTCAGGTTATTGAGTGCCAGTTGCTAAGGAACTTTCGAATGGGAACAGAGGGATGGTAAGCTGAAGGGAAGGTCGTACACGATAGCTTTCCCACAAGTTAAGAGAAGCAGGTGAAATGCTGTAGTTACTAGGTTTTCGCTACTGAAGTAGCTAGTTAATCTTATTGTGCTGATTGGTTTTGAGTTATGTGAATGGAGAAGGTGATTTTCGGTGCGAGTTGGGTTTGTAATTATGGTTTTGTTCGTGTATCCTGTGTATCGCTCTGATTTGTGGAGCAGCATTCATTAAATGTTGATACATACTCATATCGAGGAAGTATTCAGAAATCAGTCTGTTACTTTTCCTTTCTTTCTCTTTTGACTATTCACACTGAAAAGTTAAGATGGTTAATGTTTTGAGATAATAAAGACGGTGTGTTTTATTTGGCTTCAGGTTTCACATGTGCACTATAATAATAATGTTTTATTTAATTACTTGGATACTTGGGCTGCCTGTCTTCACTGGTTGTGCGGGCCCCAGAATAATTTCCACTCTCCGGAGATTTGTTGGTCCCCCTATTGTGGTTCGCTGGAGTCCTGAGGACAGCGTAGGCAAAGTATGACTTAGGTCGTTACGACCACAGGCATTTCCCGCCCATGGGGATCAGAGGGAGATTTGCCACTATGCGACTAGTTTGATACCAGGGCGGAGGTGGATTCTGGTGTTGGTTTGCTGTTAGCTGGACTGCCTGATGGAAACGCCGGACTCCTTCTCAGCTTGGGAGACCCTGCCGGGAGGGTGAATCTCCTGCTGTACATTGCAGCTGGGATCACCCAGGAGAACCTTTCACCCACGATGAGGCAGTAAACCATTGGAAAGAGTAATGCTTTAACCTAGCGAAATATGCTGTTTCTCCGGTGCGAAGTTGAAACTTTTCGGTTTCAATAGTGAACATTAAATTTTTTTGGAATCTCATAGGTAAGTTGTCGATAATCAGAACGGTGATATTGCTTCAGCACAGAGAACGCCGAAATTTTTTTCATAATATGCCACATTTGCTAAATCACGAGCTGCTTTGATTCGAAAACCTGAATTCCCTAACACTGGGCGTCTGTTGCTAGTGTCTTAATGAATAAGTAACGTGGAAACGACACTGCTGACAAATGTAGCTCATGCTATGAGCGTTTTTCCTTAAAACAATGTCCGAAGCAGCCCACTTTATTTTAGGTCGCTCTCCACATATAAGTCTAGAATAACACAACAGTCTTTTACAGTGAGTTAAGTGAACCACAGTTATCAGCTACCGGATACATCTTGGTTCTCATTTCTAAGGTCGCCTGAATTTGAAAATTAAGCCACAGATTCTGAATGGAATATTTAGAGCCGTGTTTTGTCTAAACTCTACCAGGTGCTCAACGGGTTTCTTTCAAGGAAGTGCTCATATATGCACACCATCTTTCTGTTGAAATAGCAGTACTCAGTGCAGCTTGTTTTTTTTCTCTGGAACGTCTAAATTAATGAATTATCCTGCACTACATTCGTAATATGCTTGTGATTTAGAAAATACTCGAAGCATAGGATGAATAGATGATTAATTGATGGGATATTGAATGAGGCACATCTATTAAAATGCGAAAATATTGCCTATTAATTAAAGTCTGCTTTTCAAAGACTTGTTTCTGTTACAACACTCTATAAATGTGCTGTACCTATCGCAGAAGTCAATTTTAGGGATATGCTTGAGATCTTCTTGAAAGTATTGGACTTGTATTCCTCGTCAATCACTTGTTGTTGTAAGTACGAAGAAAATATCACCATATAAACCTAAGCCTAAGCGTAAGACTAAGCCTAGCCTAGTCACTCGTGCACTTTCTTTACTATAGCCACTCGTTGTTGTAGAAAAACTCTTTGTTTTCTGTTCTACTGTGTTAATGTGCATATAAGCTCCATGAGCAGTGCTGCAGCAGCCTTCTTTCGATCTCAGGAGAAGTTAGAAGGCAGTATTGTTTGGCAGAGTGACTAGTACAAAAGTATTGTTAGAGGTTGATCTGACAAACTGCTGTAATCCATGTGTGAGTTTATCATGGCGATCATGACAGGTCGAGGCCGTTAATCGTGCGCGCATATCCGTCGCACGCATGACGGGACGCTTTCACGCCGCGAAAGGATCACAGCTACCGTAAGGTGGTCGCTAAAAGGGGAGCTGGTGAGATAGCGCAGGGTTGAAAATGACTGAATTTTTAGCATATGTTGCGGCTTACATTGTTGAATGATCCATCTAATTTCGTGGTATTACATTATTAACTTTTTTTGGGTAGTTTGAAAAATTCATTCAAAATTTTGACTGTTTTTAGATATACAGTTTTAGTTTATTATTGTTAATGATGATGTAACAACCCTCAACGAAGAGAATCGAGAGAATATTTGTATATTAGTTTATGTCTTATTGCTGAATAACGATTAGCGTTCTGTTAGGTAGCCCTCGGCGTCAGATCTTTCTAGTTCACACGATTGCTTATTCAGTTTCCTTAGTGAAACTGCGTTTTGCTTCGTATTATTCCGAGTCGTTATCCGATTATTGGGCTCTCTGTAACAACTCGACTGTTCATTTCATGCATTGTTGGAAAATCTGGATGTCTTTTAAACTAGGTGTATTTGATTTCATGGACGTTTTCACCAGAGGAACCGAGGGATAAAGAGTCGTTTGGTCCGTAGATGAATTCGGCAAATGTGTTTCGAAGTCTATGAGCGACTGTGAGTGGCGTGTCGCACTGTGTGAACACGCAAGAGCAGTAATTAGTGACATTTGGGTGAGCGATGAACGACTAGATAAAGTTCGAGCTGTCTCTGTATAGTTGGCGGTAGACTCTTTTACTCCACCACCCTCCTGTACGATTGCTAAACTTTGATCTTTGGCACCCCTCTGTGTCGCGGATTCGATTGTTTTCAAAACTAAAGGGATAGTTTTTACCTTATCGGTCAGTCACAGGGAAATTATAATTATCTAGTGAGTGAGATTTTTAATGAAATTCCGTTGCTAGCATGACGGATTTCTGAGGTCGTAAGTGAATGAAAGTCCAGTAGTAACGGGTTGACCTCGTTTCTTTTTTTTTTTAACTTACTACATTCCATCAGCGTAAATTTCTTGAGGAATGAGAAATTCGTCGTGGAAGGACGACATGTTTTAATCCACATGGCTTTGTTGACATAGTGAAGTTGCAGTGGGATTTCGATAGACATTTTTTTAGTGAGTTTAGGGAAAGTGTTCTCGAAGGAGCTATGCGTTTTGAAAACACTTTGTTCTATTTTTTAATAACGCGAGTCAAAAGCTTGCTGTTTTATTTTTTGCACTTGTCGTGATTATTACAAATAATTTTATTACATTTGAGATTGTTTACTTCTGTTTCTCCAAAGACTTCATTTCATGGCTACAGCAGTTACGGTAAAGCTTATGAAAGCTTATAAGCCTAAGCATTTGATCCTGTAGTCACGAATTGGGCGGAGCTCAAAAAGAAGGCGACAAATTCCGTGTTTTTTTTCGAGTGTCGGTTTTTGAAATTCATGAGGGAAAAAATATTCACAGCGTTATCCTTTTTGTTTCCGTATCCTGAGTCTGTCAGGTCTGCAAGCCAGTCAGGTGCGAGCGAATCCATTGCGCACCTGTCACATTTCGAAACGACGCGAGGTTGTGATATGTCTGTTGGAGTCACTATCTAATCCAGTGGCCACTGGCTATTAAAATCGAGATCTCAGTTGCCACATATCGAAAAATTCACACTGGTTGCTTCGTTTGAGAGGTGAAGCCATAGAGCTTAACTTTGTATTCGAGGGTAAAATTTGCTTAGATAATCGGAAATCCATATATATTAAGATAATGAATGTTTATTTCGCTTGTATGAAGATTTTTGCCATCAGATGAGTAAATCATATTACGCAGACTAGTGTGCTGCTAACAGACCAGCCGGGGAAGGATGGAGAAGTTGTTTGGCAGAAGATGCGATTACATTTGAAATGGTAGCATTAAAATTTACGTTGAGCCAATCTTTTGGCGCTTTTCTTCACTTTTCTTCCTGTTTACAAGATTTCATGTTGCTTTAGGTTAAACAGCTGTTACTGAAGCAAATGATTTCAGTGAATTACTTGAGCACTATTGGATTCGTATACGTCCACTGTAGAAAATAGTTCATGTAGATATTTTGTTTGTGATCATCCGATTCTAGGTGCTGAGATATTGTGAATCTTTACATGGAAGATGGAATTTGCAAGAGATCCGTGCTGTTTTCTTGCGTCGTCACTTACTTCAAAATGTTGCACTAGAGCTGTTCTTGGCAACAAGAAGTATCGTTTAGTCTTCTAACAGTTTTTTTTTGCTTTCTTCACACTCGAATAGAAGTTAATTTCATAAATGCGTCCATGCATTCCTATTTTTAGCTGCCGTTATGTTCGCATTCCCTGATCAAGAGACAGTGAGAGATGTCGTGTATCAGTTGCCTCGAGTCGGTGTTGGAGTGAAGTATGGTCTGCCTCAAAGCCGAAAGACTAGTCTTATGACACCACGTCAGCTATTTAAGCATTCTGACATGTGTTTGAAATGGCAAAAGGTTAATTTGAACACAGTATTATGGTTTCTAATCAAATCGATATTGATGGAAGATCACATTTGATAAAAAGGGTAACTGGAAAAAAGATGAAACCGAAGTTGTATTATGCAAAAAGCCGAGAAAAACAATCTGTTCGCATCTTTGAAGAATATGCTGTGATGCGCCCACAACAGTTTGAAAGCAAAGCAAGCATTTGGATGTAAACATAATCTTTTCAAAACAAAGATTGTTTCTTGTTAGTTATTTGGAAAAAGGCTAGAAACTATTTCAGCGTGAAATTTCCAATTTCGACTACTTGATGTTTCTAAATACGGTGGCTGGTCGTACGTTCAACGATCTGAATCAGTATCCCGTGTTCCCTTGGATTCTCACCAACTACACATCCGATCATCTCGATCTAAATATAGCAGCGAATTTCCGCGATCTTTCAAAGGTACTGTAATAATTCATGGGCGCTTACGAACTCTATAGCCTCCTCGTGAACTCTATCGGAATCTATTTCTCACTTGCTGTAATTGCCTGAAGAAAACCAAGCTCCCTACCCGATTGGTGCTTGGCCAAGGCGGCAGCTGTTCGCAACCAGTTTTTGTTCTAATTTCAGCCCATTGGCGCGTTATCAGAGTCTCGTCGAAAGTTTTTCCAAGAACGTTACACGTCATGGGACGATGAGACGATACCGGCGTTCCACTATGGCACTCACTACTCCACGCAAGCCTTCACCTTGAACTGGCTTATCAGAGTGGTAATTATTGCAGTGATAATATAAACAATTGTGAAATGCGTTTGAGATACAGTGGTGTCGTTATGTTGGGAATATGGTAAACGGCAAATTCCTATCTTAACATACCGTAACCATCTGCCTTATTGTGAGAGTTTTATTAGGTAAACGATGTTGTCAATGGGCAGATTTGGCGAGTAGCTGTTGAGTAGATTTTGTCTCTTTTCTACATGATTACTGTATGGGCGCTACGTATTACTACGTGATAGTTTTTTTGACGTTCACATTACTAAAATCATTTATCGATAAGTTGGGCCATTAAAACATTCGCGTGAACTCGCATTTCCTCGGAAAATAACCTAAAAGACCTACTTTCAGCAAACCCCGGCATTAATAATTAACCCATAACGCCCCATCTGAACACTCTAGTGTTCATAGCGGTTTGGAACAAACGATCGTATGGACATTTATCCATGTTCAGTTTAATGGATTCCAGAGTTTTTTTTTTGTACCGCACAGTGTATATTCATTCGATCGGTAATCGAAAGCAGATCAAGGAAGAATTTGGAAAGACTGGAAGAAATATTCGCTACACTTAATGGTTCACAAAAAACATGTCGAAGAAGTTCATTTGTCGGTATTTTGGCCAACAATAGTTGCTATTTCATTTTCATCACTGTGGTGTGGTATGTGCGGTTAAAAGAAACACTGGAATAGACTCAACATAGGGTTGAAAATACTTCCACGTGCTGACAGATGTATTTGCATAATAGACCGTAGTTAAAGGATAAAGGATAAAGGATAAGGCTCTCGGCGTTGATCACTCCATGAGTGGTGCACCATGCATTCGACTTCATCAAGCATAGTTAGAGGTGATTGAATGCATATCTGGCCTTCACAATGGCTCGCGGTGGCCTACTGATGTATTGAGCCAGTGCTGCTATCCTCCCAGACAGGTCTTCTACTAATTCGCCGACCCCGGAGGGATGAAAGGCTTGGTGAGCCGTGGGCGCGGGGATCGATTAAACGCGGGTGTCATAGTGGCGCCTCCAACCACTGCGCCACACGCCCCTTGCTTGGAATAAAAGTCATTAAAATTTCGAGATCTTTGCCAAAAACTTTCCAAAGTTTTCTTACTCTAATGCGAATCCTAGTTTTGTGTCGCTCAGAAAATTGGTTTTGTTTTTTTCTTGCTCACGGAAGATTGTGTTTTGAATAGCAGTTGCTTGGTTTGGCTAAAACTGTAAAAATTTAATTGTCATCTTCTGATTTTGAAAATTTTATTGCTAAATATTTTTAAAGTCGGGAGGGTATTGTGGACAGTTTGTATATTTTCTTCTTTTTTTTTCTTTTTCACGGAACTCTTCATATCTGCTATGGAAATCTCAGCACTTCTTGCTTTTTCCTTTTCCTTGTATCCGTTATCCATGAAGGTCTTTCAAATCTTTCGAGGGTCTGGCTATCGCTTGAGGATTTTCCTTTTATCGTGAACGTCGCTGAATGCTAGTTGAGTCGATTGTTTTTGCGGTCTCCACCTAGCCGTGGAAGAGCGTTTCCACGTGGATTTCAGAGTTGGCGACGAACTAGCCCCGTGTTCGTGATAATCGGCGTCACTACCACTGCGCCACCTACCGCTTTATATGTATGTATCCATGTGCATGAACAAAGCGGTAGACAAAAATTCTGTAGTAAATATCTTATGTTCTCAAATTTCCAATTGCGGAATTGGGAGTTATCAAGAAGCCCACAGTGTCAAGTGTTCATCACTAGAGATTCATTAATATTAGAGAACCGTATTACGTAAACACAATATTTTAAAATTGTATTGGAAAATTCGATACTGATGTACCAGGAACCATTTACGACCATGTTCCTCGATATGCAAGGTGGCCGATTTGATCATCCTGATCGAGTATTTCACAGCATTGCTGAGACGTGGGAGCACTGTCAGAAGGACTCACACGATGTCAAAGTAACATGATCTTACTACAATATTAGCTCTTTCTCCATATTGATATTTATTTCTACGTCCTTTGAATACAGTACCGAAGCATTCTTTCAAGGAACTCATTCCGGAGCTCTTCTATCTTCCGGAGATGATGCGAAACAACAACGGATTCGAGTTGGGCACAAGATCGGATGGAGTTAAGGTAAACTTGTTGCTTCTTTATTTTGTTTTACTTCATGATGTATGAGATATCAATGTTAGGTAGGTTTCATTTTGTTATTTATTTGCTGTTAAAAATTTTATTAAAATACTTTGAAATTTTTGAGATATCTGATGTCCTTCTACCCAAATGGGCCTCGTCACCCGAACAGTTTCTACTCCTTCATCGTCAAGCACTCGAAAGCGACCTTGTGAGCTGCCAACTGAATCAGTGGATAGATTTAATTTTTGGGTACAAACAGAAAGGACCTGAGGCGGTGAGTTTTTTTTTACCATGTTTATAATAAAGCGTTGTTCTGAATAATTTGCCTTCATTGAGGTTGATGTGATATGACTGAAGTCTCCTAGAACTTCAAATTTTAGGTTCGGGCCACGAATGTATTTTATTACCTCACATATGAGGGCGCAGTTTCTCTAAAGTCTATAGAGAGTGCAACACATCTAGAGGCGATTCAACAACAGATCGCCTCTTTTGGTCAGACTCCGGCGCAACTGCTTGCAGAAGCGCATCCGCCGCGTCATTCAGTGATGACCATGGTTTGCATTACTCTGGTTTCTTGAATCATATTTTCGGGCTCCACGAAACACTGTCCTAATATATGCCCTGTAATAATGCATGCTCGATGGTGCGTCGTCCCAGACCATCTTTCAATTTCCACCGATTTGGACAGATTGCTACCAAAGTTGTCTGTGAAGGCTATCTCAAATCCATTAATTCCAGCGTTTTGTAGTGGAGATCTGGGAACGCTCGAGCACACGCATCTAATGATTCCATATGAAATCAGCTTGACTATCATTCAATGACATTCGTAAAAAGACAGTGTTATCAAGTAGTAGCCGCAAAAACCCGAAGATCATCATAAATGATAGATGCAAGACAGCGAACCGGATAAAAAAGAGTTATGAGATCAACATAATATGTGAATTTGCTTGATACGAACGTATCGTATAGCAATGTTTACATTTTCGAACAAATTTGCTTTTCAATGTTTTTCATCAATAAGCAGACACGAGGTTGTTAATATAGAATTTATTAGAACACAATTGCTGACGTTTCGGCGGTTTCGCCCGGCGGAAGGCGAAACCGCCGAAACGTCAGCAATTGTGTTCTAATAAATTCTATATTAACAACCTCGTGTCTGCTTCTTGATGAAAAACATTGAATTATCAATTAATGCCGAGGTTAACAGAAAGTCGGTCTTGGGAAATTTGCTTTTCTTTCTCTGAGATATTGAGATGTTTTTCAGACCCCGCTGATGTTCCGCCGATGTGAAGACGATCTATGCATGTTAATGAAGTTCATTTCGAACAGTCCTGTTGTTTACTTGGCTGCCAATACTTTTCAGCAACTATCCCAACCAACTGTAGTTTCAGTCGCTCAAAATCTCGTCTTTGCGTTGAATCGATGGGATAATTCTTATACATGTAAGTTCTTTTTGGTTTATTTCTCATTTCCATTCTAATAAATGTACCTTAAAGTTAAATTATGACGATCAGTGTCCGTATTTGTGAGAATTTGTACTTACTGAAATAGATTTCAAGTATGGCTTTCAAATATCAATTATATCTGTTACGCTGAAGACATACGTCAAATCTTCAATTTCATAGAACTTTAGTATTCTAGCTGAGTTATTTTGTTAAGCCGAATTCACTCTGTCTTATCTTTTTTCACTCCATGGAAAACGAATACCTTCTTATCCATCCATGATTCTTTTGTCTTTTTGGCATTGAGTTCACATTGAATTTGTAAAGAATGGGACGTTCTGCGCTGATTAATCCCTGAAGGATGCGCCGTGCATTTAACTTCCTCGAGCATCGTAGATGTGATTAAGTGCATTTCTGACCTATATAATGACTTCCAGTAGCCTACCAAATCAGTGTTTTTATCTTCGCAGACAAGTAGCAATTTGCAGACTTCAAAGCTATGAAAGGCATTGTGAGCCCGGGTGCTGTATCGAACTAGCGACCGGATTCATTATGTACTGCAGAGCACCTATGATAACTTCATTACAGGCTTTCCATGAACCTAATACTTTTAATAAAATTTGACTAAGATCTTGTGAGAATTTATCATCTGTCATCTTTCGGGTACTCGTTCACTACCACAGTTCATTTTTGTAACAGACCCGTCTTCACATCTACTGTTCGCATCTCAGCACTGCGTGTATTCGATTTGTTTCCTCGCATGCGTCATCCACGAAAGTATTCCAACTTTTGCGCTAGGTTTCGGCTGTTGTTTGAGGATTTTCCATTCGGCATGAATTTCGTTGAATGCTGGTCGAGTCGATTGTCCCTGGAGTCCTGGGGCATCCGGATTGGAGGGTTACCTCTTTGACTGCTCCCGGATAAGTGTGGCACTACTTTCCCGATCCCGAAGGGATGAGAGTTTTACTGAGGCCGGAGCAGGATTGAAGCTCCACCGTGCTTTTGATTAATGGACATCACCATCCCTTCGATATGCACCCACTCTTCCCATGATATTGGGCCGTATATACCACTTTTTTGACATTCTTTACATAGCTGGACATCACATATTGTGGAAATCACTGAACTACATTCAATTGGTATTCTAGCTCACATAATCCACGAAGGTTTTCAGGTTTTTGCGTAGTTTAAGCTACGGATTGAGGGTTTTTGGTTTTCTTTCTGAAGGTCGTTTAATGATAGTCGAGTCAACTCTCTAGAATCTTAGGATAACCGTACTAGAATGTTCCCAATTCTTCATCACAGGCAGTCTCCAGTCTCTTTGGATTAGGTGTTGTTCTTCCCATATAGCAATTTCTCAACCTCCACAGTCTTGAAGTTTCAGAATGTGTGGGTCCTAATAGGGCTTTATGAACGTTGAGCGGCATCGCCCCTAATGCGCTGCCTGCGCTCCATGTATTTTATATGTCGTCAAAATGGAAGAAACAAACCGTTGCGGCGTGAAGAAAACGATGAATATCTGAAAAAAAACTTTGCTTTGTAGTAATAGAAGAGGATGAAATTTTATTTCAGTTTTTCTCTATTTAAAATGTAAATTCTAACAACGCACCAGTGTATAATAATATTTATAAGTTACACTTTAATTTAATTTTTGTTCAAAACAATAATTTTGCACGATCTTCTGAGAGCACTTTCGACTGCTCATATTTCAGATGGTGCAATTCCAAGGAGTGCCATCAGCTTGGGCGGTGACAAAGGTGGTGATCATGATAATGTTGCGGTTAGTGTTTCTATTACATTTGGACTACCTGGCTCTTCAGTGTATAGGTCATTTATTGTTTCAGAGTGAATTTTCAAATTACCAATTGGGTTTGAATGTTTTGTTTACATTGAGGTTGTTATCTAGTTGCAAACGAAGTATTTCGGCCATGAATTCGGAGTTGTTTCTTTGTCGTACTCGATAACCTCATTCCTTTTGTTTTTAATCTACTAGGATTAATGGCACCAAAATTGATATCAATTAGTAGATTCACAGGATTGTAGCGTGACATTTCGCGGCAAAATTATGTATTCTGTTCGGATATATAACACTTTTCTTTCAGTAAAATACCTTATTTGAGTTTTTGTTCTGGAATTTAATTTTAGAAACAGTCATTCTTTCAAAGCGTATCTGTGTAGTGTTTCATTAATAGAAATTGCTTTAATTTTTGTGAAGAGATCTTTTTCATCATTATGGAGAGAGAATGTTTTTGCGTGGTGAACTACGATGGATAAGGGTTCATCATCGGACAGGGCTATCTATACTGAGAAAGGAGTTAGGGATTTAATATCTTCATCTGGAAGCCTAGTTAGGGTTAAACACATGCCAATACCAAAAATCGCAGTGTTCGCGAAAGAAAACTGGTTCTGAGATGCCAGACTTCCCTCTGCCTAATAAGTGTCGCCGACTGTTTGCGACGACGACGTGAGAATGACCTTGTACAGCTGTATCAGGACCTACGGTGGAAAAAAGAACCATTCTAAATAGTCCAAAGAGTAACAAACCACCTTGTTTGACTTGTGCTGAGGTCGAAACGCTTTTTGATGGCATATTATCTAAATGGGATCCCCCCAACGGTTTACCGCCTCATCGTGGCTGGGAGGTATTTCTGGATGGCGGACTGTACAGCAAGGGGACTCGTCCCCTGGCAGGTCCTTCCAAGCTGAGAAAGAGTTCCGCGTTTCCATCAAGAAGCCTAGCTAAGAGTGAATCAAAAGCAGGATCCACCATCATCCTGGTATCAAAGTCGCATGAAGGCAAATCTCTCTCTGATCGACAAGGTCTGCGACTTCCTGCGGTGGTGAAGACCTTTGGCAGGCTTTGGCTAGGCTGATCTCGGGATTCCAGAGAACCACAATGGCTCAACCAGCAACTCAAGAAATAGAGATTATGCGGGGACCCGCACGACCAGTGAGGATTGGCCATTCAAATATCAATTAAGTAATTATATATACATATCTTGTTCTTGCTGTCAAAGTCTACCCTGCTTTGTCAGCATGACAAGCAGATGCCACACTTGTGGATTAGAGGGGAATTGGCCACCATGGTGATAGTTTGATACCTGGACGGTAGTGGATCCTGGTATTCTAATGGTGCTGAGGTATTTGCAAAACTCCGGACCGCAGTTGTATGCGGTGGGGAACGAACGCGCTGTTGTCCATTCCGGAGAGTAACGCGTTCACCACCACACCATGCAGGTCCTTCGTTTCGCCTGTCTCTCAGCTAGTTCTATCAAGCATTCTCTGAGCATTTCAGTACGCAGTATTCTCTGAGTATTTCATTGATGAGCACGTTAAACATACGCAAACGTTACGATTCTCATGAGCGACCTTCTTTTAACCTCGGCATTGAGTGATAATTCGACGTTTTTCTTCAATAAGCAGGCACGAGGTTATTGTAGGTTTTATTAGGATACGATAGCTGACGTTTCGGCTGTTTCGCCTTCTTCAGAGTCTGGAAAGGTCAAATTGGAATGTGATCTACTCAGCCAAACACTTTCATAACCCCAGCAGATAAAACATAACAAATAAATTTGTATTCGCATAGGAAACAGCTTCATTTAAACACCTACCGTTTATTTGTTGTAAGTATTTCAGTTAGTTGATGGTTAGAGGCCGCACAGAGTAACACATGGGCGGTAACTGTGTCTGTGCCAGGTCATTGGATTAGCCTAAAGTATGACGCCAGGTCGCGCGTGATGACAAGACACTCCTTGCGGTTCAGTTTTGAATTTGTAAAACATGTATGGCTTTTCGATTCAGCAGCTTATGGTCCTCCTGAAGGTCTGTTTAAACTGCTCGATCTTCAGATGGTCCGGGAAATATTACGCGCAAATTAGAGGGTTGGCAATGGGACAGCGACTGGCACCAACCCTTGCCGTTGTCTTTATGTCTAAAGTGGAAGCACCAATAATCGATCTCAGGCCATTACTCTACTGTAGGTATATAGATGATTGTTTTGTCATCTGCTCCATACAAGAGGATATGAACAAATGCTTTAAGTTATTGAATGAACAGTCAGAGTACATAAAATTCACCCGTGAGAAACTGAAAGAAAACTGGCTTCCTTTTCTAAACCTTCAAATTAACCTATCCGA